TCGAGTGTACCTAGGTACACGTCCAGCCAGCCAGCCAGCCAGCCAGATCACATCAAGCACACGCCGAAAAGCACAAGCGCCACGAGAGATGACATGAGCTCCACACCCCAAGGCATGAGACCTGCTCCCGAGTTCGTGGTGGACGAGGAGGTCGGAGAGGACGTGGAAGCACCCGACGAAGAAGTTGTTGCAGATGAGGATGATGATGAGCCACCCGACGACCCAGTGCTCCCCGAACTCGCTGTGGAAATAAATCTGTCAGCTTTCGGCATTTGCATCAAGGGAAACCCCTCTGTTACTCACGATGGGAGTTGCAGTAATTCACAAGCGTGGTATTGCTCTTCAGCGCATCGAGCCTGGCGGCAGCACTGCTGGCCTCCGCCTGTCCCTTGTGCGTCTTGTCCGCGCCGGCCCCGCCACGAGTCGACGTGGCGTTCTGAGCCTTATCAACCTCCTTCTGCAGCTTCTCCAGCTCCAAACACCGCGCGTGGTCCCGCCTCGCCGCGCAGAACTGGGTCAGCGTCGCATTACTCGACAGCCTGGACAGCTTGCTCGCGTCGGCGGTAGCCTCGGCCTTGACCGCCGAGATCCTGGCCGCGTCTCCGTGGAACTTGTGGTCCAGGAGAGTCGCGTTGGCCGCCAGCTTCTCAAGCCGCTCGTAGTAGTGCATGCGCACGCACCGCTCGACCATGTCCTCGTGGGCGAAGAACTGCTGGCATGACGCCACGAGGGTCGAGTTGCCCTTGAGGTCGTTGAGCGTCGGGGCCGCTTTGGATGCCTCGGCCTTGATGGCGGCCGCTTTGGTGGCGTCGCCGTGGGTCGTGCGGTTGAGGCGGGTCGCATTGTTGGCTATGTTGATGAGCCGGGTGAGTTCCCTGATCTCTATGCACTTGAGGATGGTCGGTTCGCTGCTGGCATTGGGATGGGGGCCGGTTCTCGTCTTATTGTGACGATCAGAGCCCCTGGTTACGTCGAAGGAGTCGTCCGAGTCTACTTGGCGGTCGTCAAAGGTGTCCTGGGCGAGGACCGTGCCGACTACGGCGAGGGCAAGGAGGCGGAAGAGTCTCATGCTGGCAGGTGTTTAAAGTGCAGAGAGACTTCTCGACCCTGGTGATGCTGGAACAATGTCAGGAAATGGCCTTGTCGTGCTTTTCCACAGACTTTCCTCTTTGCTCTCTTGTAAGTCGGGAGCCCGGGAGGTTGCGAACATTCTTGTCATCCTTCCGCGAAGGCGGCCTCGTTAAGTAAGTACTGGGCTGGCCCGGCATTACGCCTCCGGCTCCCTTGACTTGCTCGTCACCCCGGCCGCGTCAGCTACCGACCTCTTAGCGCGGCGAGGTTGAATCGGGAGGACGGGTTGACTCGTCGCCACCAATCAGAGCCGTGTCGACCCCAAGTGGGGGCTGCCTATGTTAACGTCGGTGGCTCAGAGGCAGACGTAACAAAGATTGTGAATTGATACTAGCATTAAGAGAGCAGATCTGGCGTAGGGCTGGTGTGGCAATGTGATCACGAGTTGCGTGCGCGTCCAGGTCCGCAGACTAATTCCCCTATTTGTTGGCGGACAGCAGGTGGCTTGGTGTCGCTTGGTCTAGCTTTGTCCTAGAAACAAGCTAGTCGCCATGAGCACTATTCTAAGAGGATATATCTCTTCCAATAGCCACGTACTTGCAGGGCCTGGACCTTGCTTAGTTGGATTCGTGGTCCTGCCGGCTACGGCGATGAGGCAGAATTGAATTGTGTAATGATGGGCAATGTGGCTAGATGTGATTCCCATTTTCATGTTCTATAGCCTCAACTCGTAAGGTTGGAATGACTCTGTGGCGAATGGACTTTTACAGAGCACTGTTAGTCTCTGTCCTGGTAAAGATGTTTGATAAACTGCGCTTCCCGGAAAACTTCCTGTCGCTCGTCGGCTGAATTTTGGAGCCACTCTAGGAAAAACAGCCATATACCAACAGGGCTCAGGAGTGGTGTAAATACTCATAAATACCCCCTCTATGTACTCAACACAACCTACAGTGACAAGCCCGAGACGCAAGGATCTCTCATGCTTGTCGAAATACCAGGGTTCTGTAGCCCTCATTCTACTGCAATGTTGAAACTAGGTGTTGATCTCTCTCGGTACCAGACGTGACCGAATGTTATATGGACGCCATACGGACGGACCTGTCTGGTATTGATTTCAAAAGGGCTTGTGAGTGGGTTGAAACACCTAGTCAAAAGCCCGTGGACTCGCGGGCAGATGTCTTCTTAATAGAATTGTTTTGAATCGCGTCAGGTGTGATCTATACCAGGTATGGTGATGCCCCCAGATCCAGATGGATGAAGTGAATTCCCAAGGTATCGATGACACAGGACATAATTATTACTCAGTGCTAAAATATCTCCAGGGATTCAAAAGCTATTGCAGTCGTTCTAGAATCGCAGTGGGACATGCAGGCTCCACTCAGTTCGACCAAGAGCTTCAGCCTTTGAAGGCTGCACCGAATAGTTAATGGGTCGTGAAGCATACTTGATAGCTCGACCCCTTCGTCGCGGTATTACCAAACAAGGTGACAGTGAGGTTTATCAGTTAAGAGATGGTCAACTGGAGAGATAACTGGTTCTCAGTAGTCTTCGTCTCAAGCAGTGCCGAGCAAAGGGTTAGTGACAGTCAGGGGAGGGCTGTGGTCTGGTGAGTGGAGGGGGAGCCTCAAGTTTGGGCATTCCAAGGGCTCTCACACGATAAAGGACCTTGTGATGAGACCCTTTTGCAATTCCCTTTTATTTTACTTTTGATTTCTTCAGTATCATTATTGATTACTATGCAAAATGCTGGGCAAGTTTTCATCCGTCTTAAAGCACAATCTGGCACTAGACAGATGCATCCATGGATGTGCAAAGCGTCGACCTTATTATGTATGAGTAGGTAGGAAGGATTCAAGCCTGGGGGCTTCGATCAACGATTTTTTTCTTCTTTCCTTCCCAGCTAGAACATTGAACTCGTCTATTGCATCGGCAATGGAGCCTCCCCGGATCCGGAGCCGCGTCATCGGCAGTGGTAGCACTACTTGTAATGCCGAGACCGTGGTGGTGCCGGATGCCAAAAATAGCCCAGAGGGCCCGGAACTCTCCATCAATGTCTGGAGACTCAGCCACCGCCACGCCACACCAGGAAGAAACAAGAAACAGCGGAGGGTGTGCCCGTTTCCCGCCAAGCCCGCCTTTCAGGTACGTGGCCGGCAATCCATTCTTGCTGATCTCCACTGGTTGGGCCGCCCAAAAACCCCAGCCCAGGGATCCGACCACGCCCACAAATGCCCACCAGCCCGCCCACTACGGGCTCGTGCGACAGGGGTGGTTGGCCTGCAAGTTACGCAACCTCAGCATTCCTGGGGTGATGTTCAGGGGACCAGCCCACCTCTTTGTTCCTTGTTTTATGCCTCTCTCCTCAGCCCTCCACGGCCTTCGTAATGCCTTTCATGCTTTGAGCGCCTGATCTTTCTTTGCTCTCGACAGAAATCCATCTTGAAACCTGCCCTTGTGACTTCTAGCTTGAATCGCTTCCTGACAATTGCTCCTCGCTGAAGCAACAAGAGGCACACGACCGTACGAGTGAGTTCACGACACGAACACAAGGCGGCAAATCCATTCTCCCCCTTCGCCTTGAGCGCGACGGCGCACACGAGTTACCTTCAATACAGACACATCGCGACAAAACAAAACAGTAATGGCGCCTGTCGCTCGCCCGCCCTCGCACCCGCGAGCCCTCATCCGCTCAACCCTCCTCCACTCGGCCCGCTCCGCAGCCCTCGCGGCGGCGGCGCCCGTCCTCGCCCGCCGGGGCTTGACCGTCACGCACACCCAGACCGTCACCCTGGGCGTCATCGTCGCCTACGTCGCCGCCATCGCCATCCTCTGGAACATCCCCTACGTGCGCAACGTGCTCTGGCCCTTCAAGATGCTCGTCATCGCCTTCCACGAGTTCTCGCACGCCTTTGCCGCCGTGCTGACGGGCGGCAAGGTCGTCTCCATCACGCTCGACCCCAACGAGGGCGGCGCCACGCAGATGAAGGGCGGCAAGTCCGCCATCACCCTGCCCGCGGGGTACCTCGGCAGCTCGCTCATCGGCGCGCTGCTGACCTTCTGCGGGTTCGACATCGTCGCCTCCAAGGTCGCTAGCATCGCCCTCGGCGTCGCCTTCCTGCTGACGCTGTGGTGGGGCAAGAAGGACTGGCTGACCATCCTGACGGTGCTGCTGGCCGTCGGCCTGCTCGTGGGGTGCTGGTTCATCGCCCACGCCGAGCCGCTGCGCTTCGTGGTCCTGTTCATCGGCGTCATGTCTTCGCTGTACAGCGTGTGGGATATAGTAAGTTGCCCCAAAATCCCAATCCTCCCGGTACCAAGCCTGGTTGAGCGAAGGAGTGCATGCTGATTCATGTTCGCGACAATGCAGTGCGACGATCTCATCTTCCGCAAGGTCAACTCGTCTGACGCCAGCGTCTTCGCCAAACGCTACGGCGGCTCCTCCCAGTGCTGGGGCGTCATCTGGTCCATCATCTCGCTCATCTTCATGATTGGCGGCATCCTGGCCGGCATCGCGGCCTTCCCGCGGTCTTTTGAGGAGCAGGAGAAGGACTCGCAGGGCTTCATCCCGACAAGGTGAACAAACACCACACCACGTTGAGCAGCGGAAGGAGACATGTTACCACTGGTATTGCTTGCTTTCGGCGTTTGGATGCACATCCTGCTTGTGCAGGGGGCTTTATCAAAGGACACAGGGGGGGCACATCTTTTCTCCGCCGGTCAAGGATGATGAACTGGACACCAAGACCTCTAGACGAGGGTCGAAAGAGTGCGCCTAATGATTTCATATGATACCATAGAGATAGTGGTCCCGTAATGATCATAACTTATGAAGTGTTTTTAATATATACCCAGAATGGTAGCAGTGCTACTTGTTGTACCCTCCCCCCCTCCCCACCTCAGTGCCCTTCGACGAAGCAGTGAACGCCCGTTCAAGGAATAGCAACTTGCTCGTGCCTAGCCAAGAAGTTCTGCGCCTCCTCCACAGTAACCTCGCGCTTCCTCAGCAGAGTGCTCTTGTCCTCCCGCTTGACCTCCCGGACAGGCACCGGCACGAACCTCCTGGCCACTTCGGCCGCTCTCTGCTCCGACCTCTTTGCGTCGCGCTTGATCCCGCCGTGCGCGCACTTGGCCCCCTTGAACGCCGCGTTGGCCGCCGCCTTCCACACCTCGCGCACGTCGCCCACCATCGCCTCGGTCCAGTAGAGCCGGCAGTCGGCCTCCTCGTAGACATACTGCGCGGGCAGGCCGTCCTGGACGTTGCCCCGCAGGATCTGATCGCGCACGTTGACCGCCGCCGCCGTGGACCGGTTCACGGGCAGGTCCGAGTAGCGCGACAAGGCGGCGCGCTGGGCGTCGGTCGTGGCACGCTTGTGCGCGTCGTCGACGTAGCGTTTGATGTCGGCCCACTGCAGCACCTGCGAGCCCTTGATGCCGCCGACGCCCTGGATGCCGCCCGCCTTGGGCCGCCCGCCCATGGCGATCGAGGGGACGCCGCCCTGCAGGCGGAGCATCTCGGCGGCCAGGGTGCAGGTCGAGGCGCAGAAGCCGTCGAGCAGCATGACGATGTTCTCGGGAGCAAAGGGGGCGGTGGCGTTGGCCAAGGAGCGGTAACCCGTAATGTCGATGCCGATGCCAAAGGTCGCATTCTTGGTGGTCAGCGGGTCCCAGAGATTCCAGCGCATGAGATCGGTGTAGGGCGTGTTCTTGAAAACGTGCGGATCGAACTTGTCCTCAAAGGAGGTAAAGGGCTGGTCGTTGATGTCGAGGTCGTACCGCCAATTGAACCACGATAGGTAGTCGTTGATGAGCTGCGAGTCGGAGCTCGTGTTGGGGTTGATGGAGGCGACTGCATCGGATACAACGCGAGAGATGGTCATGAAGCCGTCGTTCTCCTTCCAGCGCGAGTAGCCGTCCTGCACTACATCGGGGAACAGCTGCCGGAAGAAGTCGTATCCTTGCAGGATATAGCCGCCACCATTGGCGGAGAAGTCGATAACGAGCTTCTTCTTGCCATCCTTGACAGCCTGAGCAAAGAACTTTTGCAGCACGGACTGGAACTCGACCGGTGAGTCGTTCTCGAATGCGAGCAGGGCAACAACAGCAACATCGTCGAGCCCATCGCCCTCCAGGTAGTAGCCAGAGACAATGCCGTCCTCGGTGCTGATGACTGCGGGCGGGTAGCCCACGACGTCGGCGGCCGCAGCGGCGCCAACTGGCGCGCCGATCCTGCCCGCGACGGTCGCTGATGCGGAAGGGCTGCAGAACTTTTGATACATGGACGCGCCGTCCGTGATGCCTGCAAGGGACGTCTTGACACGGGCGTAGTTTTCAAAGGTGGCCTCGGTGCCGTTGGCAAAGGTGAAGGTAGTGTTGGCACCCTGGTAGATGAATCGGATACGGCCACCGCCGCTGAAGTAGCCTTTGCCAGCACCGGCGGGCGGGAAAGCCTTCTCGAAAAACATGGTATTGTACGCAGCATCGGCGTCCTGGTTGAACGAGGCCGTGAATATGACGTCCTCGACATACTTGGCGGCGTCAATGCCGTTGATCTTAGTCACGGCAGAGGCCGTAGACGGAGAAGACAAGACATCCTCGTAGATCTTGATCACGGGCAGGGACGTGCCATCCTCGCTGACCGAGACGAGCGATCGCTGGCGGTTGAAGTCGAAGACCTTGGTCAGTAGGTCCGGATAGAAGACGTAATGGCCGTCGTGACCGGGTCCGAAGACAGTGGCGTATAGGTCGGCCTGGAAGGCGTACTCGCTGTCGTACTTGTCCCCCTCAAGCTTGGCCTTGACATCAGCTAGGGCCTTGAACAGGTCGTACGCCGGATAGAAGTAGTCGGAGGGAGGAGCAGCCTTGTAGGCGGCATCGCTCTGCCACTCGAGGTAGGGCTCCATGGCCTCAACCAGCTCGATGGCAGCCTGCTTGCCCAGAGGCACTGACTTGAGGCAGTCATTGGCGAGGGAAGCCGCAACAGTGGGGGTGGCTGAAGAGGAGGAGAGATGTCAGAGATGCTGGGTAATAGTGCACGAAAATGTTCTTGCTTTTCGCCTACCGCTGGGATTGGCCGCGACTTGGGCAGCCCACGAGCTGCTCACACTGGCGCAAGCTCCAGTAGGTTGACCAGTCGGCGGGGCCGAGGTCACCGAGGTCGTCGTCGTCGCGATGCACGAGCAGGCGCTCGAGATACGGGCCGACATCAGCGCATTCTGGTTGTCCTTGCAGCCGTTGAGGGCGAAAGTGGGAATAGCCGTCTGGGCAACGGCCGACACGGTAAAGGTAGCGCAGAACGCCCGAGCAGTCTCGAGACGGCCGGGGGTCTGTGTCGCCCGCAGAGCGCGGAGGCAATTATCCGCAGCACACTCGGCATAAGCCGAGGCGGCGAGCAGCGCCGGCACAGCGAGGACTTGTGCCTTCATGCTTTGGCTGTTTATCGTATCTTCTTGACCTTGTGGTGCGTCAAACGCGAGCTCTTTTCACGCAGGGACCGCCAGCAAACGAATGACAGGCAGGCGACAGCAGCGCACGACTCTTGAAGGGGTTGGCTCGCTTGGGAGGCATCGCGGCGAGAGCTCTGTTGGACACCCGTGGGGAGTAGCCAAGCATATATACGCAGCTGGTCCCTCCGCGGCGAGCTGCACGTCCCTTGGGCCATATGGCCGGGGGGTCCAACGGTGAAGGAGCCCGGGCGGGCCGAGAAGCAATGCATCCCTCGCTTTCTGGGCAGGGCTGTTGTGATGCCTCGCGGTGCAGGTACGGTGGGCGCTACTGACGCCAGGACCTGAGGACCCATATGTAGGAACAAGGTGAGCTGCCATATGAGGAGTAGCTTCGGAGGGCTACATGGCTAGCGTGCGTGGGTGGATGTGCGGCAATCCTCTCCCTGCATATCGCCGATGGCCTCAACCATGGGCTGGCTTTTGTGTCGCGCAGACTCAGCTGCAGCAGGACGCATCCGAGGACTCCATGCACCGGGCAGAGCAGAGCAGAGCAGCGCAGAGCAGAGCAGCGCAACCAGGACCAGAGGACGGAGGTCCACATCGCAAACTAACAGAAGGCCGGCCGGAGGGCAAGGATCTCGCAGCCTGGGAGGCGATGGTGGTTGGCCAGCCTTATCCAACACGCCCGAGCGTAATTTAGATCAGCTCAATGACCTTCTGAAACCGGCAGGTGAGTGGACATCAATGTGGTGACGGGTCGATGTTGGCGAACCGGGCCCTCGCTGGACGTGCTGCGGCGGCGGGAGCTCGAGATGCTGGGGGAAGGTCTGGTGTGTCCCTGGAACCTGGTTGCCAGCGAGATCAATGGATAACTAATTAACTACTCGGGACAAAGCACAGTGGTGTTATTGCTTGTTAATGCAACCTCACGGCTCGTGCGGCCCAGTGCCATCGCGGGCGCCACAGGAGCAGCAGCACAGGCGGCGCGCGCTGCGTCTCCTGGCTGCAAGGCTGTGCATGCCTCATTTCCCATGCTCCTGCCGTTGCCGTGTCGTCGCTCACACCGCTGGCTTCCGTGGGCATGGCCGATGCCGAGACGGGGTCAAGCCGTGAGAATCGACCTACCCGATCCTACTTGGCGTGTGTGTGTGTGTGTGTGTGTGTGTGTGTCTGGGATGATTGACTTTCGTGGTGGACCCGACCGTTTATTACGAGTACTTAGGTACCTACCCTCCTACCTACCTACCTAGTAGGTACCTCCGTACTTGTGTTTATCAGTTTGGGCTAGCGCCTGACGGCCCGTTAGCGAGCGGCTTTACAGGGGCCGTCCCTCCAGGATTCCCGCTGAGGGTGCCATTTCCCGTGGCCACGAGCACATTGATTTCCTTTTGGGTCCTGGCCGGCGGATCACCTGGGCAGTGCTTGTAGTTGCAGTGAGTGTGCCCTTTGCCCTGAGAGGCAGGTCTGATGGAGATAGTTAAAGTACTTTACCTTACCTACCTGACTCCATCCATACTTTTCCACCCAACTAAGGTAGGTAATCTACAGAGTGATACGATCTGGTGAACTATGTGGATATCTGGTTGGGGGCGGAGACGGAGACAGAGACAGAGACAGACCGAGACAGGCAAGCTATGGTGACAAGACATGTGCTACCGTCCTTTCATTCGCGATGCCCCGGCCCTCTGGCTTGGCCATGGAGCCCTGCATCTCGACACGCCTCCACCTGCGCCAAAAGCAAGCAGTGAAGCATCAAATTCACCAAACTGCCCGTTCTTATCCGCCAAGCCTTGCATTCTTTTTCTATTCCTTTTCTTTCTGTTTGCCCTGCATCCGGAGAAAAGAAATATTCATCCCTTCCTTTCGTTCTCGCATTTCACTCCCGCTTGGTACATAACTGCAGGTCTGGGTGACCTGGGCCGTTGGGTGTGGCCAGGTCTTGGGTTTGGATCTGCTGACCCAACACGCAACAGCACCAGCCGTTCGGAAGAGACGTTGAGTTGATGGTCCAGCACGACTTCTGCATGCGCCGTCCTAGGCCTATACCGAGAGTCATCTTCATCGCATGTATTCCCCGCCGGCTCGTTGAAAAGGACGGTGCAGCCAGACGCATTCCTCCGACACCGGTCTGAAGACCTTGATGCTTCGGCCGTCCAGCACCAGGACAGCAGCGTGATCGACCTCCCTTTCGGCCCTCACCGTCCGCACTCGCACAAGCCACTGCATCTGTCCAACAGAGGGCACGGCTTGAACGAACTGACCACTGTCCACTCGCATTGGCGTCCATCGCGAAGTGTCACAGGCGAGCTGGATCTGGTTCATGTGCAGCAACGCACACCAACCGGCAAACACGGCTTCGACTGTTCCAGTAAGCCGAGTCGATCAGAGCATTTGCACGTCCTCCTTTTTCTTGGGTCGACGAGAGTCTTACAAGCCACGCTAACATGACCTCATGTGCCTACGGAACCTTCCTTCAACCTTGCTTCTTCATCCACACGGCACAGGTCGAATGAAGGATCTCCAGCCATGCCTCCGGACTGATTAATGATCAACGCACGTAGACAGCGTCTCCATCCTGGGCTTACCGTCCCACCAGTGATGCTCTCCGACACCGACGGACACCCGGTCGGGGAACACACTACGTCAGTCTGGCGATTCCAAAGGAACAGCCCCGTCCACTTCGACGGCGGCGCACGTCTTCGTATCCAAAATTGGTGACTTGACAGGCTCCAGACCCTTCCTATTCCTGTAAGATGCAGTCGGTGAGAAGCGAGAGAATGTAATTAATGCATGCAAAGGCCCGATGACAAGCTGCCCCAGTGTGCACCACGTTTCGCTGCTGCTCGTGTGTGTGCCGACCTGAGTTCAAACTTCTTGCCATGTCGCACTACTGCACCGGTACGGAGCATCATCACGGGTCGTCTTCTTTTTTTGGGTCTTGGAGGCTTGAAGCTAGGCATGACGATACGAAACAGAGAAAGACGCGCATCACAGGGTCTACCAGAGGCAGAGAGTCGAAAGTGTATAATAAGATGGCCTAGGCCTTGATCGAGGGCTTGTTCTCGGAGCGGAAGACAGCACCGCAGTTTCCAGCCTCTCCCATTCGAGCAACATAAAGTTTCAAAAGAACATACTCTCCCTCGTTGTCATTGTTCCTAGAGAAGCATCACTTCGGCGCCCCTTGGAGAGTTCGCAAAATGCACTTCCCTCCCACCAGCGTCTCCGTCGCCCTCCTCTTCGCATCCTCGGCCCTCGCGGCAGCGGTCACCCGCAACGACCCTCATCAGGCCGACTTCCGCACCTTTGGCGTCGCGGGCTGCTCCGAGGACAACCAGGGCGTGTACACGCTGACCCAATCCAACGTGGGTACCTGCAAGCCCTTCACCGCGCCCATCGGGAGCATGTCTGTCACCAACAACCTCTGCAAACGTAAGAGCCTTCTCTCATATGACTGCCAACACCATGCCATCGAACCGCTCCACAGAATACAGGTCTAACCCGCGTGCCCGCTCAGTATACGTGTACGACGACGAAGCTTGCTCGGCGGGGGAGACGGAGCTCCCCGTCGGATCATGCCAGGACGGGGCTTGGCTGTCGTATAAGCTTGTGTGCTAGGTTCCATGTAGGATTATCATTTGGAGGAATTTAACTGAGGAGATCATAGCCCATATCAACGCACAGCTCGGAGGCAACAAGCGTGTCGTTTACAATAGAATGATGCATTAATTCTACCATCGAATCTGGTCATCTGTTTGGTCCTTGAGCTAGAAAGCATCCAGTCCATGCACACCCCCGTCCCGTCCAGTGACATCACCATTAGCCTATAGGTAATACTACACTACATCCAGTACATCCACAGCCGAAAGCCTCTCGACAAGTACATCCCACAAGCCATCGAATGGAGACGCCGTAGCAAGGTCCTACACACCCGTCATCTCGCCAAACCCTTCCACCCCAAGCGGACGCTCTTGTAGCTGGCTTCAACACCTTGCACATCATCGGCGGCTGCTTCCGGCTCCCAAGGAAAGGAAACTCCAGTTGTCCCGATCTGCAAGTGTCCTTTAACGCCCTCAAGCATGCACTCTGGTTCTCTCCATTCAACATCCTGACCCTGACTACAATTGCAGCCCAGATCCGTCGTGGAAATCAGAGATATACGAGATTAAAGCTGAGGATGAGGACCGACTCACATGCCGTGTGGGCCGGGGGGTCATGCGGCACGGCATCCCGGGTGCAGGAGGCTATTTCGACAACCGTGAGCGCTTGGCCTAAAATGGGATATAGACCAATGAAAAAGTCATTATTCATTGATAGATAAATCTGATGCCAACAACCAGAACCTGAATGTGCTATGCTTCTACCCCGGTGGGAGGCAGGTCTCGATAACCCGAATCCCAGAACGCCGTGGCTCCTTTTCTTTCTTTGATAAACCCTGCTCAAAGTGACCATTCGATGCATCCGTCGTTCAGAAAACGGGGACGGCAGTGTGTATCTATCTACTCCTGCCGCTGCTTCTTCTCCACCCGGCCCTCTCCATCTGGGTCCGACTTGGGAACGTCGGGCAACTCGCTCGCCACAGTCTTGGCCTCGGCCGCCTCCTCATCAGCATCCGTGGGGTCGGCACTGTCGGGGTTTTGGAGGGGGCCGGTCTTTGCACCGCCTTCAGGGACGGGAGGAAGATAGACTCTGCACATTGAGGCAGGTCAGTTCAGTATTCAATACTGCTAGGCATATGAACAAAAAGGAGGGGGGACAGGAGGTGGAAGATACATACGGGAGGTACTTGTGGTAGGCATCCAGGTCCTTCTTCTCAAAGACCACAAACACCACCAGGTCCAGGTTTGTGCCCATATCGCTCTCGAGGAAGCGCTTCACGGCCGTGATGGCCACCGGCGCAGCCTCCCTGCTGGGGTACCCGTAGACACCGGTGCTGATGGCGCTGAAGGCGATGCTGCGGCACGAGTTGTCAATCGCCAGCTCGAGGGCGGTGGCGTAGCAGCTCGTCAGGTCCTCCTCGCTCACGCCCGGGTCGATCACGTTGTAGACGGGCCCCACGGCGTGGATCACCTTCTTGCAAGGCAGGCGGTAGGCGTCGGTAATCTTGGCGCCGCCCGTGGCACA